AAAACGATAAAGATCATGGAAGAAAAAATGGGGGCAATGCTAGGAGCCCTAATACATGGCATAAACACAATATGAACCATAAGTAACAATGCACAAGCACCAGAAGAGAGACTAGATAAATTGGAGCTCCTAGAAATCAAACACTTACGCTCATCAAAAGACTTCACCAAAAGAGTAAAAAGACAACCTACCAACTGGTAAAAAATTCTTGGCTACAACAAATCCAATAAGCATCTAATCTCTAAAATCTATAAAATAGTACAAAACCTCAACAACAAAAAGACAAATAACCCAGTTAAAAAATGGGCAAAGGATATGAACAGGGACTTCGTCAAAGAAGATATTCAGGCGGCCAACAGATACATGAAGAAATGCTCACGATCATCAGCCATTAGAGAAATGCAGATCAAAACTACCATGAGATATCCTCTCACCCCAACAAGGCTAACATTAATTCAAAAAACACAAAATTGCCTTTAACATGATATTAATTGTACCACAGTGTCATTTATCTGGTACCTAAACTAACTGTGTATGGTAAATTATCGCTGTTGTTGTCCTGTGCCATTGAGCAGATTCAGACTCATGGTGACCATGTGTGTGTTACAAAGTAGAACTGCGCCACAGAGTTTTCTTGGCTGTAACGTGCAGTGGTTAAGCACTCTACTGCGAACCAGAAGGTCTGTGGTTCGAACCCAGCAGCCACTCCTCCGGAGAAAGACGTGGCGGTCTGCTTCTGTAGATTATAGCCTTGGAAACACTGTGGGGCAGCTCTACTCTGTCCTATAGGGCTGCTGTGAGTCAGGGGGGAATCAACTCGACGGCAATGGTTTGGTTTGGTTTTTGGTTAATGTTTACCAAAGCAGATCACTAGACCTTTTCTTCCACGGTGCTGTCGGGTGGGTTTGAACAACCAACCGTTCGGTTACTAGCTGAGTGCAAACCGTTAGCACCACCTAGGGTCTTTAGATGGTAAATCAGGGTCTGGAAACATCAAAAGCCCACAGTAACCCTACCCAGGAAAGGTATCACAACAGCTCTGTCCAGATGAGATATCCCATGTAAGTATACCGACATGGTGCTTTATATGTGATGCCCTAGAGTCTACACATGGTATCCAACTTTGTCTAGTTTATCTAAGACACAGGAACGATCTTCATATACAGACAATTCTTAGAGCATTTTCTATTATCTGTATACCAAATTTCTGATTACATTAGCTTTAACTACTAATAAATTCAATAAAACAAGGTAGGGATTAGCGGCTTTTCAAAACTCATGCTGTAAGTTCAGTTAAATTCATCTGCTGCTGTCAGGTATCTCCCATACTTAGACACACGTACATGCACACATACATATATATGTACACAAACATTCTAGGCACTGTGCTGGTTGTTGAGCCTGGAGAAACGAAGAGAATCTAGATTCTGGTCGCCCAAATTCTCTGGAGATGCACAATGATTTAAAAGCAAGGTAAGAAAAAGGTAAATTGGAGATGATTCTTCTAAGTGGCAGTGATGAGGGTATCTGATAGCAAGAACTGTTTCGTGTGTCTAGAAATTATTAGCCTGCATTCCTGGGACAATCCCTGGGAAAAAAAATCTACCAAAGCATCCAGGAAAAGAACATTTTTCAATACCTCAATATCTTCTAGGTATTCAATATCTGCAGTGCAATAGCCATCCTTCATTCCTCGTTTTAGAACTCTAAACCGCTTTCCTCCAACTGTATCGACCACAGACCTTCCATCAGGTAAGAAATGAACGTTTCTAATTTGTAGCATACAACCATAATCTGCAAAACTAAATGAAAAACTTTGATTAGCACTAAAGTTCAAGTACAGCCATGCAAATTCTTAACGATATTCAAAGAAAGTTCCAATATAAATAAGATGTCTAAGCACACAAAAAGCATACCTATTTTGTGTGTCACTGACACACATCCCAAACTGTTTTGTTCCAGTCTGTATACTTCTTCGAATCATCAATCTGTATCTTGGCTCAAATACATGAAGAGGGCAAGGCACAGTGGGGTAGGCCATAGTGCAAACAAATATTGGAACATTCTTGGTCAAGCTAAAGAAGAATAAAGGTTCATTATCATGTAACAGAACATACAACAAAAATGAGTGAAGTTTACAACAGTCGTGAATTAATGTAAAACAAACAAAAAATTAGTTCTAAATTAGGAGATCTTTTATTCTTGGCTAGAACGAGAATCACCACTTCCTTCAAACTAACGCTGATGCAATATTAACTCTTAATTTATGAGTGAATTTGAATTTTGAGATACCAAGTTTTCATACAGAGCTAGGCGCCTTTATGAGTCAAAAATTATTTGATTATAATTAATATTTCTATATTAAAAATCTGTTTAAAATATTTGTAGCACGCAGGGTTAAGTATCTTTTATCTATGAATCTTTCATTTACTCTCAGATTACAGTAAGAAAAAAGCTCTCACAATAGTCAGAAAACAAATAACCAGAAATTCTTAGGCATTAACAAATTTTCAAACACACTATTGAAAAAAGAGATAAAGTTTTTTCAAAGAACTAAAATGACATAACGTTTTTCATCACAAGACTGGCAAGGGTGACAGAGGAGGATAAAGGTAGCGCCCAGTTTTGGCAAAGGCAGGGGCGCAGTTTGAAACAATACAACTCTGCTACAAAAAAACCGGGTTATGTGCATTCAAAACACTTTTAAAATGTACATATCTTTTGAACCAAAAGGTTCATTTTTAAAAAATTCTACAAGTACTATTAGAACATTCGCTGCAGCACTGTGTATACTGCCAAAACTCAGAAGCAAAAAGAGGGGACTAATAAATTACGGCATATCCACAGAAAGGAGACTTGGTGGCGCGGCGGTTACAGTGATCGACTGCTAACTGAAAGGCTGGTGTTTCAAAACCACCAGCAGCTCCGTGGAAGAAAGATGTGGCAGTCTGCTTCTGTGCAGATTTATAGCCTTGGAAACCCTATGGGGTCTCTATAAGTTGGAATCAATTCGACGGCAGTGGGTTTTTTACATCCACAAAATGGAATACTTTGTTTCCATTAAAAAAATGATGCGTACCGATACTAACTTGAAAAAAAATGTATAGTAATGAGAAAAAAGTCGATAGAATAATATGAGTAATATGACCCCAACTTTGCTTACAATATATTTATATATATTAAAGGCTGGAAGTCATGTATGTCAGCATACCAAGGGGCACTCCCTTTGCCTTGCAGGATTATGGCTATTTTTCCACCGTTCATCTATATTTTCTAGTTTTCCTTCAAAATGACCATAAATTACTTATGCAAAAGTAATTTTTAATAAAAACATGTTCAAAAATACAAGTGTCAGTTCCTCTACTTTTTAAAATGTGTACTCTACCAGCACAGAGCACTCTGCTTAGGAAAATAACTGAAAAAGACCTCAGTATACCCATAAATCGGAGCCCTCGTGGCACAGTGGTTAACAGCTCAGCTGCTAACCTGAAGGTCTGCAGTTCGAGTCCACCAGCTGCTTCTTGGGAACCCTATAGGGCAGTTCTACTCTGTCCTATAGGGTCGCTAAAAATTGGAATTGACTCACGGCCACAGGTATATCTATGAATTGGAGCCCTGGTGGTGCTGTAGTTAAGAGCTCAGCTGCCAACCAAAAGGTCACAGTTCGAATCCACCAGCTGCTCCTTGGAAACCCTATGGGGCAGTTCTACTCTGTCCTGTGGGGTTACTACAAGTTGGAATCGACTTGACGGCATACAATAACAACAACATACCTATGATTTAGAAAAACTTGTGCCACTGGATGAGCTACCCTTATAGTCTAAAAACAATAATAACCACCAAGTGAGTAAACAGCAAGAATCTCTCTTCCAGCTCTCTTCACGTTACTTCTCCATCTGCCACTGGCTTACACCACCCTTCTATGGACAACCAGGTGGCTCCACCGTTCAGGATTTCAAAAGTTTACCTGTGGCTTTCTTAGATCTAACTTTTTTCAGTGTGGAGCAAAAAGGTTCATCATCTGTACACCAGAGTATTTTCTAATAAGCATTTTACATAAAATGACATGATGAAATGTCAATTCTGCAGGAAGACACACTAATGTCAATGTCTGTGGAAGAAAGGAGGGAGATCTTTCTCTTACCGAAGGCCGCTGGCCACAGAGGGCATCTGAGGGGCACATATTGAAAAAGAAAGGCCGGGAGTTACAATGAATTTTTTCTTAGGAACTGAGAATTAGAAAATGTTCCATTTACATTTTGAAAGATAATAGAAACAAAAAGTTGATAAAAACAGCACATAAAAATTAGGATTTTTTTTTTAATGTATCCCATTAAAAGAAAGTGAAAGAAAGAATTAAGAAATTAAAAACCTAAGAAAGAAGTTAAGAGAGACCCAATGGACTGAAGAGAGACGGAAAGACAGAAAGGGAGAAGAGAGTGCAAGAGAGAAACAAGTACAGAGCAAACAAACCCAGGTCCAACCTACGCAGCCCCTGTTAGCCGTCACGCCCTCTTGGTAAACCCCGGTGTTACCTCGTACTGACTCAGGTTTTCATCTTCCTAACTAATACTAACTTCATCCCACTACCAGTCAACATTTTCATTAACTGAAGATTTAAACACCCCCATCACCCCTTCCAACTTCAGTCTCAGGCTTCAAGGTCCCACCTGCCTCCACTCTCTACGTGGCTAAAAATCCCCTGCCAGTCCAAGCCCTTTACCCTCACCTGTCCTGGTCCATTTACCTGCCCTGCCATGATACCTGAGGGATGCTCACATGACTATTTCTCGCTTTGCCTCTCCATTCCCAGTTCTGCTGCCTGGTATCACGGCAGGAAATTCCTCCCCCACACAAATAAAAGACTGCTTCAGCCCACGGAGCTGAATCAATAATTCCCTACGGAACACCTGGATGTTACCAAATGAACGTTAAAAAAATTCCATCACTTGACAACAGGAGAAACGGACCAATGCTTGCTAAAAACGTGCCTTTGACTAGACGGAGTGGAACTACAGATCGGATCCAGGCTGGAGAAGGCGTCCTCCATTTTAAAGAGTGGTAGTTCAGAATTCGTGTTAATTTTTATGAGAAGAAACTTACTGCGATAGTTCAGCGGTTTCTTCATCGTATATTTTTTTTCTCTCAGACAGCTCATCAGGCAGATACTTCACTATTAATTCTTCCAACAGCTGTGTGACACAGAACCTTCTATCTGCCAGATACTAAAAGACAATATCATTTTACAATCCAGTCATTTTTTTCCCTACGGTATAAAACAGGCAAAACAGGTGAACTGAAAATAGTAAAGCCTTTATTACATATTTGTACAGTTGATTCTGAATTGTTCTCATCAGTAAGGGGAACCATTACAATGGACGGTGCTAAACAGGTGAACCTGTCCGAGGCTTTGCTCAAGGGCGTTGAAGACATACCTGGTCGCAACGTGAGCCAAGCACAGTACAGACCGTTCTCTTGCTATGATCACCAACCCTTTATTAGCAGCAATTACCTCTGTCCCTGCCATCTCCCACATCAAAGGCCAATTTCCATCTGACAGCACTTGGGTACCTGAAACTACCATTCTAACTGAAAAACAGGAATTCGATAAGGAAGAAAGAAAGGAATCCATTTTGCCTTATTTAAGTAAAGCAAAGCTATTCTCTTTCCTTTGTTCTCAATTTCAGTGGCAAAGTCTTCTGATAATTTTTCTTTCAGATCTTGTTTGTTACCACTGTCGCTCCACTGTCACTGAAACCCTTCTATCAAGAGTTGGTTGTTCCTAGGTGACCCGTCCCCCTACTGTACACCAAACGGCACATCCGCACCGCTCCGAGTGCTGCTCGAAGAAGTGCTGCCCTCACACATTTGTGTCATTCCTTCCTCCAACTGCTAAAAGCCACCCACTTGCTCACCCCTGCCCATGAAAAGCCTATTTGTCCTTCAAGGTCTGGCTCAAAGTTTACCTTTTAATAGAGCGCTCCTTAATTATTTTTCCAGCTCCCTAAAGGGCCACAGGGAGCCCTGGTGGTACAGTAGTTAAGAACTGGGCTGCAAACCGAAAGGTCAGCAGTTCAAATCCACCAGCTGCTCCTTGGAAACCCTATGGGGCAGTTCTACTCTGTCTTACAGGGTTACTATGAGTCAGAATTGACCGGATGAAAATGGATTTTGGAGCCCTGGTGGTGCAGCAGTTAAAAGCTCAGTTGCTAACCAAAAGGTCGGCAGTTCAACTTCACCAGCAGCTCCTTGGAAACCCTATGGGGCAGTTCTACTCTGTCCTATAGGGTCGTATGAGTCAGAATCAACTCCATAGCAACAGGTTTGGTAAAGTGTCATAGCATTTACTGTCTGTGCCACCAAAAAGGCACTCACCATACCGTGCGCTGAATTACAGGGACGGGGATACACCATAGCTCTACCATCCAACTGAAAATCGCTTAGGGCCAGGACAGATCAGAACATGCACACACAACTCTGGACAAAGGAAATGCCCGATAAGTATTAATAAAAGTAATAAGGAGAAGCTCTTGAGAAGCAATCACAGGACAAAAGCAAGAGAAGCTATCCTGCAATCTGTAGAATGGGTACAAGTCAGGGTTTGTCCTTGCCCAGTGAAGAATAGATTAGGAAATGGACAAGTGCGGAATCTGACTACAGTACTGCTTTTCAAACTATAGCATGAATGAGTGTGTTAAAATAGACTGCTGAGGTCCACCCCAGAGTTTCTGCTTTTGTGGGTCTGGAGAGGGGTCGGAGAATGTGTATTTCTAACAAGTTCCCAGGTGACACGGACGTTGCTTGTCAGGAGAACACACTTTGAGAACCACTGGGCTATACAGTGGAGAGGGTGCCCTTGAGCAGATAATCTGTGCACAGATAAGAGTTCTTTATAAAATTATCAAATTGCAGACATTAAGAAAGCAGTCCCATTAGCATTTTCTTTTTAATAAAGGTGTTTTAAAATTTAATATCCATGTGTTAAATATGGGGAAACAGAACCTCTTTTACATTGCTGATGGGAATATAAATTTGTGCATCTGAGCGGGGGAGAGGGCAGGCAATTTGGCAATTGGTTTTAAGAGTCTTGTAAATACATGGCCTTTGATCCAGCAATTCACTTCCCAGGAATTTATCCTAAGGAAATGGTCAAAGATAGAGCAATCATTAATTTAAAATGATGTTCACGAAGGCACTGTATATAAAAGAGACCAAAGTAACTCACATACCAAACAACAGGGAATGTCCAATCATTGGAATATTATGCAGCTATGACAACTGTTTTTAAGATACATTAAATGAAAAAATGAGAAAAATAAGTAGAAAAAGTATAAAACTGTATGTAGAGCAACCAATTTTATTTTTAAAATTATAAATACTTATATTTTTACCAATTACAAATACTTATATTTTTACAAATTATATTACAGTAAAACCTGGGAAAGCCGGAACCTGTGTAAGGTGGAAGCCTGTCAGAGAAGGAAAACTCAAATATTTTCCACCAAAACAAGTGACAGAAAAGTGGTAAGGCTGCACCCGGTCAAAAGCGGAAAACTCGCAAGATCCGGAAAAACAAGGCAGTCCCATCGAGTTCTGGCTCTCACAGGTTTCACTGTGTCTGGTGTGTTTTCAAAGTTGGGACACAGGATAAACTTATTTTTCAACAGCGTGTTAGTTAACTTTTCAAATAATACGCTTAACATATTTTTCTTCAAACTCCAAACATTTTTAAGATGACATAGCTCTAAATTGAAAGCAATGGATCCTAATTGTTAATCTGGAGGAAAAAAAGCAAGATAAATATATTAGAGAACATCTAAAATGTCCGAAACAGGAAAAACAGTGCATTTAAAGTACTTCACCTAAAAACACTAGGCATGTTCAAAAATATAACTAAAAAACTCTACGAGTAAGTTCGACTCATGTTTCCTATCTTTGTGAACATTCTATAAATGGTTTTACATTTTATACATTGTAAGACAGCAAATGTAACAGTACACATAAGCTATTATAACACCCCTGCAGAACAGTTTTCTATATAGGAAATAACTCCATGCGGATCCAATAATAAAATGGGTTTATTTATTTTTTATTCATATTTGGAACACATTTTTTTTCTTTAAATAACCCTGTCATCGGTTTCCCTAGCCAAAGCTTCCACTGTGTTGCAGCTCAGAAGTGTAAGGCTTTAGCCTCACTCCAACTGATCCCCAGTCCCTCAAACTCACTCCAGCTAATGCCCAGTCCCTCAAACTCACTCCAGCTGATCCCCAGCCGCTCAAAACTCACTCCAGCTGATCCCCAGTCACTCAAATTCACTCCAGCTGATGCCCAGTCCCTCAGACTCACTCTAGCTGATCCCCAGTCATTCAAGCATGACTGATAGGCTGCTGTCCTGCCAACAGTTACAGGAGACACCCACCTGAGATCTACATAGTTTTCTACTATGGGTTATTAGCACTGATCATCACTAGAAGGTTGTGGGAAGCTATGCCTCCCTCTCTTCTTCCCAGTCGACCATGTTGTAGAGCTGTGCTTCCCCATGTGATAGCTGCCAGCCACATATGGCTGCTTAAGTTTAATTAAAATTAAATAAAATTTACAATGCAGTTCCTCAGTCACATTAGCCACCTTCCAAGTGTTTCACAGCCACTCCTGGCTAGTGACTACCATATTGGACAGCACAGATATAGAGCATTTCTATCAATGCAGAAAGTTCTATTGGATAGCGCTGTTCTAGAAGTTACAGGGGATGAAACAAGCTCAAATCAGGCCTCTTACTGGGCGGTGGGGCATGGCACTTGGGTTTCCCCAGTACCACCATCATTAAAATTGAACATAGCCCTGACCAGGGACCCGACCATACCCCACCTTTTTTTAACTAAGTACCTGGGGCTTGGTCTCCAGAACTTCTCTTTTTACCCCAACCCCTCTTCTCTCAGTTTTCTACACAACCCTAGAATGTGGGTAATAAAATATTATCCTTTTTTGTCACTTGGCGTATATAATGCAATTCATTTTTAACATGATAATGACCGTTATCATGACTGAACCATGTTGCCAAATTTAAGACCAATAAACAGATACATACGCAAATATTTACCTCTTTTAAGCTTTCCTTGCAAAGCGGACAATATGGTGTATGGTCTAAACAACGCTCAAGACAGTTCTTACAGAATGAATGTCCACAAGGGGTTGTTACTGGCTCAAAAAACAACCTGAAATCAACCAAAATACATATTAGTTTTTACATCCAACTATCCCTTGGACAAGTGGGTACAAACTAATAATGGAACCATAACACTAATCTCTTTTTCGATGAGGAAGGAAGAGGGCCCAGCAGGCAGGATAGGATGGAACGGGCAGTGATAAATGCAATTAGACCCTCCTGAACTTCTTAAAAGTTCTCCATCAACGGTGGTCCCCTGCCAAGGGCTCAGAGCTGTGCTAACTAACCGGTCACATAGGGCTAAGCACTTGAAACATAGCTAGTCAAACTGAGAGATGTGCATGCAGTGTTATGTGAAATGCACACCAGATTTCAAAGACTTAGTACAAAATAAATAATGTAAAATGTATCATTACTAATAGACTTACTATATAAAATTCACTGATATGAATAATTTAATAAATACCACAGTTGAACCCTAAATAATAATCCTTAATATTATACAGTAAAACATGGAAAGGCTGGAACCCATGTAGGGTGTGGAAAACTCAAGTATTTTCCACTAAATGGAGTGACAGAAAGGAGCCCTGGTGGCACAATGGGTAAGAGCTCAGGCTGCTAAGCAAAAGGTCAGTAGTTCGAATCCACCAGCCACGCTTTGGAAACCTTATGGGGCAGTTCTACTCTGTCCTCCAGGGTCGCCGTGAGTCAGAACTGACTCAGTGGCAACAGGTTTAGAGCGACAGAAAAGTCGTAAGACCGCACCCTGTAAAAGGCAGAGAAGTTGCGAGACTCATAAAAACAAGGCCGTCCCGTCAAGTTCTAGCTCTCACAGGTTTCCGCGTATAAAACTCAAACAATGCATAAGAAGGAATTTTTACTGACATTATAATTATTTCCTGATGCTTCTGAATCCTAGAAATACTGTTAGATGTATGAGGTATGTTAGAAATTGCCTGGTCTAATCCCCTCCCCTCTGAGGCTCAGAGGTGAAGCACAGTCTCAGAGGTGAAGCACAGCCTGTCACTGCCTGACGAGTGCGGTGACCACAGGGCCCTGGCTCGGCAGGCAGTGTTCCTTTGACTCTACCAACCACAATTCACGGAACTGAAAGTGTTCTTGTGAAAACGGCAGTCTAAACAGTCTGCAAAATGGAAATCCTTATCCAATAGTACTTAAAAATGCTTTTATGGTTAAAATATATAAACAAGATAGAACCATATACACACATCATTTTCTTACCTACAGATCTATCTAAGCTTAATAATACCTACAGCTTTTATAAACCAAAAAAAAAAAACTGTTGCTGTTGAGTCAATTCTGACTCACAGCAACTCTATAGGACAGAGTAGAACTGCTCCAGAGGGTTTACAAGGAATGGCTGGTGGATGTGAACTGCCGACCTTTTGGTTAGCAGTCAAGCTCTTAACCACTGTGCCACCAGGTACTATAATAGCTTTTACAGTACTTTACAATTTCCCAGCTTCTTTTTGTACTTAAGCCATTAGATTCTCACAACACTGTGATGTAGGCTATGCAAATACTAATCCTACTTTCTAGATAAGGAAAACTGAGATTCAGAGAGAATGTAATTTGCCCAAGGTGTGAAAGGGCAGACCTAGGGCTAAAATTCATGTCTTTTGATTTTTAGCCCAGTATTCTATTACATTAAGCTGCCTATTATTGCCTTTATCTATCGTTGTATCTTATTGACATTAATATATAATATTCACCTTTTATAAAATTTTACAGACTTACCTCATGCAGAGGGAGCACTCAAAATCTGAGACATCTATTAATTCTTCTGGGATGTCACCACAAACGAAGGATAATGTACAGACGTCGCTAGGTGGTTCTGTGAAAACAGTATTTTCTTCGTTAGGAAAAAAATTAAAGGTCATTCTGAGTAAATAAATGTATTTTGTACAGAAGCACAGGGAAACTTTTACCTCCTTGTTTTTTAAGCTTATTTCTTCCATCTTCATTTACAATCACATCCTGTTCTAAAAGGGACAATTTTCTCTTCAGCAGAGCGCCTTTTTCTGGAACTGAGAGGAAAGGTTCTGAGGAAACTCTTTTCAAACAATCCTCTCTGGCAGGCATTTCTGTTGAATTGATAGCCTGTGCTGACTGAGCACGGTTTAAGCCTCCTTTGACAGGTTCTGAAGTGGCCTCGGGAACGGCTTCATTCTACAGAAGTACAATACACAAAAGTAACTATACGTCTCTGTTGTGTGCCAGGGAGTCCATTCAGACTCACAGCAACCCTGTCCTTTAAATAACAGAATACTGCTCTCACCAGCAACCAAACGGAAGTGAAATTTCAATGCCTTATAATGTTCATTTTAACAGGCCTCCATTTTAATTCTAAAACTCTGGCAAGTAAATGGTTTTGCCAGCACTTATACAGCACCAGATATCAAGGTGACTTATTTTGGGACTTAAGCAATCATGTTAAGATAGTTGCTCCTACCTGAGAAAGCTAAAAAAAAAACACAATGCTCTATAAATTCTAAGTGTTCTGGCATTCAGGTGACCTAAAATTGTGATTAATGAGCAAATATTTTACACAAAAGATTGTACTGTAAAATAAAAGGCTACGGACAAAATTATATTAAGACAATGCTAAATAGGTTAAAGGAATCCTCGGTAAGGCAAATGGTTAATGCACTCAGCTGCTAACCAAAAAGATGGATGTTCAAGTCTACTCAGAGGTACCTTGGAATAAAGAGCTGGGGATTTACTTCTGAAAAATCAGCCACTGAAAACCCTATGGAGCACAGTTCTACTCTGACACACACAGGGTTGCCAGGGGTCTGAATCAACTCCATAGCAACTGGTTAAATAGGTTAAAAACCCAAGTTCTAGTACAGACAGACCCCGACTGATGATGGGGTTCCATTTCAATGACTCCGTTGTCAGTCAGTTCTGATATAAGTCAAATACCTCATTTTTTTTAGTTTTCATTATTATTACCTTTTATTATCAGTGTCTTTACAAATCATAACATTGAACATCTGCGAATGATAACATCAGCAAATTACACGTTGTAAAACTGTACGCAGTACAAATTACTAATGCCAAGATGCCACTCGTCATAACTCAAATACGTCTTAAGTCGGGGACTGCCTGTACTTGAAATCAGGAAAGTGAACACCTTAATTTGTAAAGAAATAGATATGCTAAACCCGTGATCATCTCTTCTCATCCCTTACCTGCTCTGGGCTAAGCTCACTAGGAGAATGAGATTCCTCCATTACTGAAGGGAAACCAAAGGCTTTGTTTTTAGCAGATGGTAATGAACTCCAGGAAGATTCCTTCAGGCCTTCTTTTACGTTTTCAGGGGATAATAAATCACACAAAATCTGTAAGAGAAAAATTATAAAAGAAACATAAAATATTTGGTTCAGGATAACTGAATCTAAATTTACCTAATATTTAAGAATCTTTAGAAACGTTGTAGTAGACGTTATTTTTAATGGGCGAGGGAAGAACAGGTTAGGTAACACAATGAATAGAACTAAATGCCAGACTGATGGAAAAAATCTTTAAAAAACAAGACTCACCTGGTGGTTGCCAGAGACCAGAGAGAGACTACCAGACTCAATAGGGACAAATCACCTCAAGGAAATGATTTAAACTTTGAAAGGAGGGCACGGGCAGTAGTTAGACTGGCAGCCGGAGAAGGTACCCCAGGTAAAGGGTGACCTTTTAATATGATGATTGTAAAAAAAAAGAAAAAAGAAAAAAAAAAAGAGCTCTTCAGAGATGCAGAAAACACATACCTTTGTCAAATAATTCATGGTTTACACCAACGGTACATGGGTTGTACTTGGACGTGTTTATGTGAACTAAAGAACTTGGGCCTCTAACTAAAAATCACTAAAATCTTTAAAATTCCCCGTAAATACAGTTGTCCTCACAGAACAATTAGCCTGCTGGGGCATCAGTACAACCCAGCAATTGACTGGGAGACTAAAGGGCACTTGCCTTCCTAACAGCTGCTAAATAAACATGGAGACAGTTGCAGCATGAAAACTTCTGGGTGCTTATATCAGGAATAGTAGCCCTGCTGGCGTAGTGGTTAAGAGCCATGGCTGCTAACCAAAAGGTCAGCAGTTCAAATCCACTAGCTGCTCCTTGGAAGCCCTATGGGGCAGTTCTACCCTGTCCTATAGGGTCTGTATGAGTTGGAATTGACTCAATGGCAACGGGTTTGGTTTGGGCTTTGTATCAGGAATACACCTAAAACTTTGTGAGAAAAAAAAAAATGGCATGTTAAGATAGGGAAAGAACCTGGTTAGAAGGAAATGTGAGGGATTCTGATTTTTTGGGGTTGTCAAACAAGCTGTATTTATATGTACAGCAGAACATTTTTTAAAATGTAAATTTGGAGATTCCATTTTTTCATTTGATCTATCACTCAAATACACAAAACTTGGAGTAATGCTGATTCATTGCAAGGAAATAAATTCAATGTAAATGAAAGTGTGCATTCCTGCCAGGTGTTCAATCAGTACCCTATCAATGAACAAAGATTTAAAATCTGTGTATGTTTTTATATTTCCTCTGGTTAAAAAAAAAAAATAAGTATTAAACACACACCTACCCTATAACCTAGCAACTCAACTTCACTCCTAGGTATTTGCCAAAAAGATATAAAAATGTATGTCCATAAAATAACTTCTATGGGAATGTTCATAGAAGTTTTCTTCGTAACAGTAAAAATCTGTAAACAACCCAAATGAAAATCACTTGTGATTTATCTGCTAATTGTGAACACCATAAATTGTGGGATGTTCATACAATGGAATATTGAGTCAACAACAAAAAAGAAAAAAAAATTACTGGATGTACCTCAAAAAATATTATGTTGCACCAAAAAAAAAAAAAAAAAAAAAAGCCAGACACGAAAAAGTACATACTGCATAATTCCATTAACGTGAGGTTCTAGAATAGGCAAAACTACTTTATTGTGATAGAAGCCAGAATAGTAGTTTCCTCTGGGAGTGGGGGTGGGGAATTTACAGGAAAGGAGCATGAGGGAACTTTCCAGGGGATGGAAATGTTCTATGTCTTGATTGGGATGCCGTTACACGGGTGTATACATTTCCCAAAACTCATTCAACTGTAAAATCTATACATTTAATTGTTTGTAAATTATATCACAATTTATAAAAAGTACACTGCATCCACCTGACCTTAACTACCCAACAAACAAATAATTGACAGAAATGTACGGATGTCCAGGAACATGGGAAATGCAAAATTATAAGCTCTTAAAAATTTGCCGTTTACCAGGAAGATCACACTGACAAACATGGAACAGTTATAAAACACACAACAGTAAGCAATTTATTTTAAATCAGTGGGCTAGAATGTACAGGCATGCATCGCTTAGTGTCCACGATACGTTACGTGATTTGGACATTGTGTGAACACCGTATTATATACAGGTAGTCACCGGATTACGAATGAGTTCCATTCCTAAGTCTGTTTTTAAGTCAATTTTGTATGTAAGTTGGAACAGTTAGGTATGGTTCATATCTAACATCACTTAGTCAGATGTCTGTCTTAGTATACAGTATAGAATGTACCTTTCTATGCATAAAAAACAATAAAGAAACACTTCCAGATATACTAAAACACCTTTAACATAACAATAATGTGCATTGCAAAGTTGTGTCCATTTGTTATTACAAACCATTGTATGTACCTCAAATTTTTAACGTAATAGTCTTTACGGGGGTTGGGATCGTAGATGTATACGCAGTTGGACGTTGCCCGAACGGACATTATTCGGCACGTGACTGTATATGTAAACACACCTCATAGAGGACGTATCAGTGTTGGCTGGATTCATAAGGGAGTTGAAACCTGAGCAAAATCTCAAAATTCTCATACTTCAGGGTACATAAGGATCACCTGGGGTGCTTGCTAAACTATGTACCAGTTCCAGAGAGTCTCATTCCAAAGGACTGTGGTATGTCTAACTCATACCCCAAGTGATTCTGATATGGAAGTCAAAGAGCCACACTGTAAAAAACACTACAAAGGTGACAAATAACATGGCATGTTTCAAGGGTAAAGAGGAGAGCATCACGACTATGGCCCCGAATTTGTATTACAGTAGATTTTCCCAAAGGGTGACCCTATATGACAGAGTAGAATTGCCCCATAGGATTTCCAAGGAGCAGCTGGTGGATTCAAACTAGCGACCTTTTGGTCAGCAGCTGTAGCTCTTAACCACTGTGCCACCAGGGCTCTTCAAAGACACTGGTCACCCAGATACTCTGTGAATAGGTTTGAGAAAAGCTGGATGCTATTTTCATGCTGGCATATAAAAACACTGCGAAGTTCTGAAGAAGCCTGTTTAACCTGGTTTAACTCAATGTTTCCTAAAGTCATTTAAGACCAGACAGCCTTCCCCCCTCCCCTTATTGACACCTACTACCCACACCATAGAACAAACTCTGGAAAGTAATGTATGGAGTAGTGAGAAAACATAAGGTTAAATAAGTTAACTGGGGCAATACCACCGGTAACCACGGAAAGCAAGCAAAGTTTCCACTCGAAGTGAAAGGCAAAAAGCAGGCCAAAAAAGATTCCTGAGCAGAAATATCATGACAGCAATGTTTCCTTAAAGACACCTAGTCTGGCTCAGATTGAACAAATTATTAGCGAACTTCTAAATTTTACTAAGCAAAACTGTTGCATTTAAATATCTATGAATGAAATGTTTTGATTTCAGAAGAATTCAAGATGCTTAAGTATATGAAACTGAAACTCACATGTCAAATTGCTTCTTCTGATTTATGCACTTCTTACGCTTTTCTGATTAGCATTTGTAAAAAGACCTGTGTCTCAGCCCTGCCTTGAACTATTACAGTTTGTAAACAGATTACCTTTTCTACTTCTAGCTTTGCAGGTGCAAAATCTTCATCCAGGGCTAAGCACTGAAGAAACAGTTGTAAGGCATCGCCTAGAAAACCAGCATCGTGGAGTACTTTTCCCTTCCTGAAGTAGACCTTCAACAAAAGCACGTGAACACAACCTTTATTGATAGAACTGTTTTGGAAAATATCAGTAGCAAGTAAAGAAAAACATGATCTGCTCAGAAATGCTGATTTTGAAACTCAGAATGACTCTGAGGAACTGAAAGCTTTGAAAGGTATATCCACGCACTGGCCTCAAGGCCCAGACAGTGACTCAGCCAAAGTTTCACAGCAAGTCAGAGCCGGGAAAGACCAGAAATACCATATTCCCTCATCTTTAAGATATCACTGGTTGAAAGATGATTGATTCAGTAACAGCTGTTTGGGGGAAAAGGAAATAATATATAAAATGCATGTGGACTTTAAGATACATCAAGATTAAAGAAACATCAAAATGTGAAAAACCATTCGTCTTAGTATCAAGGCAATATGGTAAACATCCTCCAGATTATCAGGGAGGCATGTCTGCCTATGCTATTTTTTAAGGAAGTCCTTACAGCTATGACACTTTTCATTTTTATATTTCTGTAGCCTGTCTTTTCCTTTTCTCCTTCATGACATGAGTTCAGTTATAACAAAAATTGGTACCCTACTAATTATCTTTGGTAAACCTGAAATTCAATTTGTGAGTCAGTCCACAATCTTGAAACAAAGTGTCCACTACTAAGCTTTCGATGTGCCTTGCTTGTGTGATTAGAATGAAACAGGTTTTGTAAGCATTAGTGTTAAATAATATCAGAGGACTCTAAGAACATTCTAGTCAAACATAATTCAGTTTTTTTTAGCTACCTTGCAAATGGCTGGAAAAAACTACATTCCAATTACATCACTTCAGTCCAAAGGACTCCCTCCTTTTTTAAACATCTTCCAAGTTTTAAAGCTATCCATACAGACTATCTGTCGTCTTATTCTGAGTATATATTTGCTTGGTACTAACCAGTCATGCCATCATGGATTTTCTTTATTAATGTATAACTTTTAGAGCATCCTATGTTGTCCTAAGGCGTTTTGAAAGGAGGAAAAAAAAAAAAAAAGTCCAAGAAAAGAGTAACTTCCAGCTTGAAGAGCATATATGAGGAAAGGGACAACTTTGCCTTGACAATTTGATAAAAAGGAAAATTAATAAACTGGTTGTTAATTAATAAGCTTAATGTCTCAAATCTTCTTTAAAACCATGTGGGCAAGGCAACCTCCTTTGCCCCATCTACTGTGTGAAATCACTGCCTAATCACCTGATTCCATGATAATGCCTCGTTTTCCAGCCTCAAGAGTCTCTTCTGTTTCCACTAACGAACCTCCTTGTTCAAAGAAACCCAATTTGGATTCAGCTTTACAATATGGCAGGTTGTTTGCTATCGACACAGAAATTTTGTCTACAAAGTCTCTACTTTTTTTCTGTTCTTTGAATTCAGTTTTTTCTTTACTTATGAAACAAAAGACTTCTTATAATTTAAAAAAAATTGTCAAAAGACGTTCATCCGCTCAAAACATCGACCCTAAAATTTCTAGAACTCCATATATTTAAAGAGTTAACCAAACCATTTTGCTAAAACTTATACCCATCATTGAATGCATGTTTCCTATAGTTGAAATTTTAAGGTTTATTCAAGTACAAAATAGTAATTTTACCTCAGGCCAGTTTGGAAGTTGAGAGAGAACTGCGTTTAAATCTTCCATGGCTGCTTTAAACTCTTGGAGACCAGCATATGATTCAGCTCTGTAAATTTTCAGAGTCAAGTCGCAGGGCTCTGAAATAGGTATTTTATAATCATTTTATTATTTTTTTAAAATTATTATATCATCCACAAAACAGATCAGACTAGACTGAGAAATGACTCAGTGATCCCACAGTCAATAACCACCACACTAATGGTGTGTACTGGTGCAACCCAGTTTCCACGCTGAATCTTATCTAGAAATTATTAGTATATCAAATCATTGTAAGTAGATTGTGTAAACACTGTAGTGGAAGAAATTATTTCTTTTAAGAATACTGGAAATATTTTTATAATACAAATAATCACCCTTAATAAAACTTGTTTTCTTAAAATAGGGCATTCCACAAAAATTTGAAAGGCATGTGTCTTTGATGTTTCTCAAGTTTGCCTTTTTATAGTAAATCTTATTTACACCCTAATGCCTAAATCCTCACGGAATTCCCATAGTGACTAGGAACCGATCAAGGATCAAGGGTGTTAAGTAGTTCTGATTCTGAAGGAAATAGGCTGGTAAGAGTCAGCCTTCAAGAGGTCAAAATTTTAATTTCTGCCACTATCAAGAATGGTATAGGGCCACCTCAAATTAAAACATTTGATTTCATTATTCCTAAGGAAAAAGGCTTTGTTGATAATTTCACTAGCCTCTATGTGTCTACTTGAAAAACCAAATATCAAATGGCATTCAGGATTTCAGACACAGCTGGTTCACCTGTGATACTATAATCAATCACTATAGGAGATTAAATAGATTCTAAAACTGAAGTCTAAGCAAGGTATACTTTAAGTCTATCTATAGGCAATATATGATACAGTGGTTAAGAGTTACGGCTGCTAACCACATCCTGGCAGTTCGAATCCACCAGCCGCTCCTTAGAAACCCTATGGGGCAGTTCTACTCTGTCCCATAGGGTTGCTATGAGTCGGAATCCACTTGACAGCAACAGGTTTTTATAGGCAGTATTAACTTGACTCTTTTTTTAAAAGTTATTCATCTTTGAAACTTTCAGAAATATATGCTTAGAAGATAAAGCGGACTGAATTTCTAGGTGTACTGCTAAAAAAGGTATTCACTAGGAGAAGGACATAAAGATCCAAACTGCCTCTTTAAAAATATATATATTTAATAAAACTCTTCAGAAGCTCCCTAGTCTACTCTAGTTTTTCAACGATTATTTCCTTTAGATAACTCTCACTTTAACAATTAGGCAGGCCTGTTCCAGTTGCTGGTACATGAGAATTGGAATTACACTCTTCCTTCAAATTTGTACCAATAAAAAATTCTAAAGAATGAGATTAATATTTCATGAAAATATTTCTACTTACTTCCTAAATAAAAAAGACAAGTCTAGAACATTTTGCCTTACGAAATCTTTGTTTTTTAAAGCAATATAACTGGAAACCATTAACTCTGAACAAAAATGTTCAATATAATCAAGCAAGCGATAATTAAGGGCCCTAGCAAAAGCTGGAGTCCCTGGGTGGGGCAAAAGGTTAAGCGCTCGACTACTAGCCAAAAGGTTGGCGGTTCGAACCCACCCAGAGGCACCTCAGAAGACAAGCCTGGAAATCTGCTTCCAGAAGGTCACAGCCTTGAAAACCCTATGGAGCAGGTCTACTCTGCACGCATGGGGTCGCCGTGAGTCAGGATCTACTCAACAGCAACTAGTAATAACAGCACAAAGCTAGACACTGTAGGCGTTCAAGAGTATTTTACATCATCTCTGTCTTCAAAGAGCTTATAATCTAGTTACAAAAAGGTTTTACTGTGAAGCAGCATCATGCAATACTGATTTGGCAGGTACATCTGGAGTGCAGAAAAGACAGAGTAGCGTGTGCTAAAACAGTCCAAGAAGAGAGTGCAAGAATGAACATCCAAAAGCTGCAAAGGACTGCGGCCCAGGACATGCTGGAGTGCTTTTCAATAGCGTCCTTGAGATCGAGATTCGGCCCCAACGCCTGCAGCGACAGAGAGGCTCACTACAGCAGCAAGTAGCCCAGCCCATTCTCGGATCCCTCACTTGTTTTTTAAAACCTTCGTCCCCACTGCTTCACATCTGACTCAGTGCAGCTGTGGAACATCACACTCTTTTCTCCATGCTTCTGCTGCTCAAGCTTTACGCGGATTCTTAAGCCACCACCGAGGAAGAGACTGAAAAGGCCCGTCTTTGAAAAAACCCAGTCAGCCTGTAAAATTTCTCCACCTTTACCAAAGCAGAATAAAGATGTGTCAACTACAACATAGTAAGGAATACTCAGGTCATTGAAATCCACCCCCCACAAGGAGGTCTTAAGAAGTTAGTGTAGATTGGGGTAAGAAGAGGTATACTCTTCAAAGAACAGATGATGAGAGGGCCGTATTTTAAAACTCTTCCTCCTTTAGGTAAAGTATTTATGGAGAATTTAAAATGTGAATAGAATAATTTTTTAATGGGATAGTTTTTGATGAAATAATTTCAAATGACTAATACCAAAAAAAATATCAGATGAGTTTAAACTTCCAATGTTTTTAAAAAAAAGATTAGGGCTACGCCGCTTATTTACTTAAAATTCATCTTAGTTCTAAAAAAAAGAACCAAAATCCACTGCTTTTTAATATGACATGTATAATAAATTATGGCCCTTTGAATAATCAAAGCATACAAAATGTCTGCCCTCTGAGTAAACTTCTCAGGCAACTGAGAAAAACAGCAATCAGTCCTGACTGCATCATTCACTCATTTGGAAGGATGAGAAACTATTTGTTTACTGTGTGTATGCTGGACTGAGGGTACACCTGTGAACAAGTCACCTCACTGTGCCCACCATCAGAGCAAGATCCTCTCAGTCCACTCCTGGAGATACTTGTACCAGTTGCTGTTGACTTCTACTCATGGTGACTCAATTCTGACTCATAGCGACCCTATAGGACAGAGTAGAACTGCCCCATAGGGTTTCCAAGAGGGGCTGCTGGATTCAAACTGCCGACCTTTTGGTTAGCAGCTGATCTCTTAACCACTTTGCCACCAGGCCTCCGGAGATACCTATAGTTAGCCTGAAAAATGCTAGCACATTATAGGCTTTTAATTTGTTGAAAAAGTGAAGGAATACAAAGATCTGATCGGGGTTAAAAAAAACTTTACTGTGTATAATGATTTGTGACACTTTAATCTGTGCTCTTCCTCTGAGCCACTTAATATCTGTGGTCTTGTTTCCCTGTTTACCAGGCTCAGGGACACATCTGCTTTTTTTTTGGTCAGGATTTAACTCCCAGATCTTTATCTTCAGTCCTGATTTTTCACACGAACTTCAGATTCATCACATTTCCAACTGTCTGCTGTACTTTTCCTCAAACTCAGCACGTTCCCCACAAAAAACAAAGCACTTTTTCACTGTACCCTCTATTAGTGACACCACTGACTTCACAAATCAGCATCGTCCTTTGTCAATTTTACCTCCTCTAGTTCTCAAATCTGCCCCTCTTTTCCAGTCCTACTGCTAACAGCCCTCATTCAGACTTCCAAAATTTCTCTTCGGGACGACTGCCAACAGTCCTCATCTCCCTGCCTCCAGTTAAAACCCTCCCTACGTCCTCATCATCCACAAGATAGAGCATGTAGTATTAACACAACATACATGTTTCTCCATGCCTGGCTCCCACCCATCTCTCCAGCCTTACTTCCAATCATTACCAACCTTCCACTTTAGGTTCTAGTAATACCCAACTGCTCATCCTGCCCCATTTATACCATTCTTTTTTCATGCCTCCGTATCCTGCTCATAGAGCTTCCTCTTTGTCATGCTGTTCCTTACTGATCCCACGTCCCTGTTGTCTGGATAACTTTTTCTCGCCCAGTAAGACTCAGCTCACCAATCTCCTCAAGATGCTCTCCTTTGAGTCTCCCTCCACTCAGCGTATCCTAGGAGTCAACAGCATGAACCTTGAAGTCAGACTGCCTGGGTTCACATTCTGGATCCTCTACTTACTAGCTGTGACCTGGAGTAAATTACTAAGTAGCTCTGTATCTGTTTCCTCAACTGTACTTTTTTTTAAAACACTTATCACTTACTATGTACTGTTCTAAATGCTTTGCAAATGTTAACTTCTCTTTGGAACAATCTTACGTGAGTGCAACGAGTATTTCCCATGTCTACAGATAAGGAAACTGAGTACAGAGAATTTAAGTAATTTGCCCAAGATCATACAGCTAGTAAGTGATGGAGACAATATTCTAACTTAGGCACTCTGGCCCCACAGTTACTACTATGCTATGTTAATAACAGTAGCTACCTCACAGGGTTGCTCAAGAGAATGAGTTAATGGATGCTTGGCCTAGAACAGAGCTTGGCACATAGCTGTTGTTCTTAGGTGTTGCCGAGTCAGTTCTGACTCATAGCGACCCTATGCACAACAGAACAAAACACTGCCCCGTCCTGTGCCATCCTCACAACTGCTGTTATGCTTGAGCCCATTGTTGCAGCCACTATGTCAATCCATCACATTGAGGGTCTTCCACTTTTTCGCTGATCCTCTACTTTTCCAAGCATGATGCCCTTCTCCAGGGACTGATCCCTCCTGATAAAAAGGCCAAAGTAAGTGAGATGTAGTCTCACTATCCTTCCTTCTAAGGAGCATTCTGGCTGTACTTCTTCCAAGACAGATTTGTTCTTTTGGCAGTCCATGGTATATTCAATATTCTTCGCCAATACCAATTCAAAGGCATCAATTCTTTGGTCTTCTTTATTCACCATTAAGCTTTTGCATGCATATGAGGTGACTGAAAACACCATGGCTTGGGTCAGGCTCTTCAAGGTGACATCTCTGCTTTTTAACACTTTAAACAGCAGACTTGCCCAATGCAATGCTTCTTTTGATTTCTTGACTGCTGCTTCCATGGGTGTTGATTGTGGATCCAAATAAAATGAAATCCTTGGTGTCTTAGTCATTTAGTGCTGCTATAACAGAAATACCACAAGTGGTTGGTTTTAACAAAGAGAAGTTTATTTCCTCACAGTTAACGTAGGCTAAAAGTCCAAATTCAGGGCATCAGGCT